TAAACAGATTAACACTTCTGCCTCATGTTCAACCTTCACATACCTGGATCTAATCCTGACCTTGCTCTTGCTGGAGCCTGCACCCCAGCACAGGCAGATACCTCTTAGGATAAGACTCTACTTAGCTCACTGCAAGCCTTCATAGCCAGGCTCTGTTCCCCTGTAGATCCCAACAGTTAAAGAATTGCAGATAGACACTGGACTCCTGTAACACTGTTGCCTCCCTTTTGCCCATGTGGAGAGCCCTGCTATCCTCTGCTATGGCACCCTTCCTGATGATCTGTGCCCTCAACATCTATCCAACTGTTTTGCATTTGGGGGCCTACATACCTTGGTTCACACCTGTAACAGGGTTTATGCCTCCACTTACAACTGATTATGTAAATGGATGATTTTTATAATAATCTTGTTATACCACTCCATAAATTAATAAATACCACACAAGAAATAGCATCACCTCTAAGTGGAAAATGGTAGTATCAGGCTCTACCTGAGACACAATGCTTCTCTTTTTAAGAAATGGGGTGTGGTGGTGCATGGCTGTAATCCCAGCACTCTGAAGGTGAAGGCGTGAGTATAAAGCATTCAAGATTGGCCTCTGCTACATATCAAGTTCCAGCTTTACCTGGGCTATATGAGACTTTGTAATTGGGGGGAGGGGGTGCTGACCTCTATATAATCTGACACAAAGAATGATGTTGTCCCATCATATTCCACAAAGTGCTTTGGGAATAATTTAAGCCATGTTTCATCTCCATAAAAGATCATTCTTTTCCCAGCAGCTTTTGCCTGTCTTATCACATTGTCTTCTAGAAGCACAGGAGAATTGAGGTTCCTTATGACATCAACAAAGCCAGGGAGACTCCCTGTCATCAACGCCTGCAGGAAGAAACATTCAAGACTTAGATCACAGATCCAAAAACGCAGCACAGGAGACAGGAAGATCACTTGGAGGTCACACAGAGGGGTAGAGACCTACAGTAGACCCTATACTGGAGACTGAGACTTGGACAGCAAGTGGGCAGGTGTGGTGGTGAAAACAGAACACAGATTTTGGACAAAAACATCAAATTCAATAATGAAGATTTGATTATTTGATAAACACAGTTCGGGCAATCCTTTCGTTGCTGCCCCCCTTTTGCCCATGTGGAGATCCCTGCTCACTCGGTGCTGGAGCTCCTCTGCTACGGCACCCTTCCTGATCTTCTGTGACCTCAACATCTGTCCAGCTGTTTTGCATTTGGGGGCCTGTCACAGTCAGTCACAGAAGCTATGGGTTAATTCCTGAGTTAATGCTAACGTGTATGTCTATACATTGAAAACATGAACCTGTATGTTCAGACCCTTTGTCAGTGTTCCAAGTAAGATTTAACTTGCTCTATGTGACAAGCAAGCTCATTAACTCTAACACACAAAACCTAACAATCAAGCAAATCTAATATCTATTTAAAAAAAATAAGAGAAAACTCTGCCTGTATAGAGTTCTCAAAGTGAAATGGGCCAGGAATTTCAGTGGAACATCAAACCCTACCCACAATGTTGCACCATAAAATAGATGGTGGGTGTGAAATATCCTGTCTTTCTGATATATAGTGGAGTCAATACTCTCCCCGCTTTTATCAAGGAAACCTACCAGGCCACAGTAATAGTAATGAACTTTCATGATTTGGAGGTATACCACGACCTAAGATAATAGCCAGAGACTTGTGGTGAAAAGAAACAGGAATCTTTGTTATGCCTATAGAATTCTAGTAAGATTTCTTCAGTGGCAAATAAATGCAAACTTTATTTTTAGGCTCTAGAGCTTGAACTCAGTGGTATACATATGGTAGGCAAGCGCTCTACTGTTGAGTTTTATCACTAGCCAAATATGTAACTATAAATCAACCAGACTTTCAGAGTGGCAGAATGACCAGCTTGGCAAATCCCCACCCCCACCTCCCAAGAGCAATGGAAAACCAACAAAAACTATCAAAAGCAATTGTTTTCAAACTTTCATAGTCACCAAAATTATGCAATAAGCTGTACAGTCACTCTCAAGGAAACCTGTACCTGTGGTTTTTCCTATTTCCTTCCTTCCCTACCTGATCTGGTAATGGCTCCATTACAGCTGGCTGTGACAAGTAAGATATTGAAATCTAAAAAGGGGCTCTGGGAAAGAAGACAATTATGGACAAGTTTTTAAAGTATCTATGTATTTCTAGGAATCTGGAAAGTTAGAGACAGCCAAAATTACTACTTCTGGCTGAGAAGGAGTTCTTGATTAAACAGTCAGTCAGAGTCATGAAAACTACTTGAATAGTCAAGTGTCCGAGCACACATGAGCCTTGGGTGGATGCCTTAATGTGGAATATGCTCAAGTACAACCTTTGCCAGTAGCTGGCTTACCCCTAAATTACACTGGACCAGAGAAGCCCAATGGAAGAGTAGTTTAAAAATAAAAGAGAATTAAAAAAAAAAAAATCTAGGGGCTTGCTAGATTGCTCAGTAAAGAGCACTTGACACTGTTGCAGACAACCCAGCATCAGTTTGCAGCATTCACGTGACAGTACACAACCACCTGTAACTCCAGCCCTGGGGGATACAACAGCCTCGTCTGCCCTCTGCAGGCACCAGGCACATGTGTAGTGCACATACATGCATGCAGGCAAAATACTCAAACCCAGAAAATGAAATAAACCTTTTTTAAAATTCAGTCCAGCCACAGACTTAAGCACTTTGGGTCCTTTCTGCCAACCTTCCTACTCATCCTAATAGTATCTTTTTGACTAATTTCCTCAGACAGGCTTTTCTGACTCCATAATCTCAACTGCATTTCTACCCCTCCAAACTCAGCATTCCATGCTATTCTTTTCCATCAGGCACTCACCACACTATGACTACATGTTATTTGAATGCTCAGTTGTCTAATGGGTATGTATATCCATAGAGACTAAAAGGCCCCTGAAAGCAGAAGTACTGTTTTCCCCCAAACATGTAGCCATTACAATGTCAACACCTAGTAGTTGCTCAGTAAGTAGTCTTCAAACCAATATACAGACAGGACTTCATTTTTTTTTTTTAAATTTACTCATTATTATCGGGTAAACCACTATGCACTTCAAAATTACCCTCACCAAAATGAACACCTAATTATGTAGAAGTAACTATTGTTGAGGCCAGTTCATACTTGTTTGATCATTTTGTATAATATAATTTCGATAAGCAATTTAATTTGACTGAGTTTGTTTTCTTATGTACAATTTATGAACTAGACTGAGTATCCTAACAGCTCCCTCAAGCCTTATGACTAAGGAACACAGCAGTCTACCAAAGGGGACGGTATCTCTTGGACTACAGTGGCCTGGACAATCTGGCTCCAAATCTTTCCTCCTTTCTATGAAGTATGAACTCTGACTACTTCACAAGGGGTAAAAAGATGGTTCCATTTTATTATGGAGTTCCTTCAGCATTCCATTGCCTCAGTAAAACTGACAACATCAAAATATTTTCCATGTTATTAAAATAGGGTCTCCAAATAGATTAGAAAATCTCTCTAGATTTTCAAAAGCACCAAATCATGATTTATAAAACACCAAGTTAAATTTACCTTGATTCGAGGCATAGTAACTGTGGGTGGCTTTGCCTCAGCCACAAAACTATGAGATGCTCCTTTTTCTACCAGGTAAGTTGTGTAGGGCATATACTTCACACCTTTTGACCCAAACACAAAATCATCTCTTAAAGCATCTATCAGCATAATAACAACTTTACTGAAGAGAGGTGACGGCAGCTTGGTCCAGTTCGAACTGGCTCCTGAAAGTGTTTAGAAAAAAGGAAATTAAGTTTTAAACTTTATTTAGTATTCAATTGCCTTCAATGTCTTTTTGCTTGTTCTTCTAGCACATATTTAGTTCAACCTGAAAAAAGGCCCATTTTTAGTAGCCAGTGTTAATTTTCTAAGAGACCAGACGACAACCATGAAGGCTCTTTCAAGGGTTTTAACTAGCCCACAGATGTCAGACTACCAAGAAGGATATCTTCTGGGCTAGGCTGGACTGTATGTTAACAATGAGTAGGTATCCCCATAATATGTAGTGAATGCATGCTCTTAGCATAGTGAAGAGTCCAGGACAGGGAAATCTCAACATACGAGACCTACAGTTGGGACCTGGGCCCTCCTCAGCTTGGCCTAAGACATAGCCTTGCAGGTAGTGAACTGGTGGATTTACAAATTGTTTACATATCCAGTGATTGGATTATGTGGACCTGTTTCACAGCAGCAGAGTCTTTACCTGGTGTTTATTTCTGTGTAGGTGAGAATAGTAAGGGTTCCAGTGCAGAGAGGCCTTAACCACCGGGGGTAGGGGAGGTGTACTGGAGAGGAGTAGAAAATTTGAAGGGTCTGAAGAAATATTACCTGTTACGTCCTATTGGTCAGAACTGGACAGCTAAATTGGAAGTGATTGAAAGGATTATTAAGAGAAGGGATACGGATCCGTGTATAATGAGATGCGGAGCCAGAGTCACTCGGGGTTACTCTGATTATCAGAGTCCTTCTGCGATTACCTCAAAGGTGTATGGTACAGAAACAAAGCTAAACAGTACTTGTTTCGGGGTGGGACAGAATGAAAGCGAGGACCGCTGGGAAAGGGGGTCCATACCTGCCACTGGTTCGGGAGCCGGGGTTTCTACACCGTGCTCTGTTCTAGCAGAAGAACGAACAGGGGCCGGGAAGAATCCCCGAATAAATATCGCGAACCCGATAACCTCAATCGCTACGCAGCTGGCAGCGAAGGCCCCGGAGCCCAGCCGCATCCTGCCCAGCCGCGGGGCCGGGGTGGCCTGAAACTGCGTGTGTCGGCAGGAGCTACGGACCGGGGAGCGGAGACCACTGCCGGGCTGTCAAAATCCGCCTCCCGGCTTGCCTCACCAACGCCAGCGCACCGGAAGTACGTAAAGGTGGCCCGCAGCCGCGGTCGCTCCCTGATGACTTGCCTTCCGACCCGCCCTCAGGGAAATGCCCCGCCCACAGCCTTGTCCCTGCCCACTCTGGAGCCCCAAACCCACGGAGTTCTCGGGGGCTTCCGGTGCCCACCGAGAGTGCCCGCACCTGCCTGGCCCACTCAGGACTTCAACCCTTGACCCAAGGGCACCCGGCGCCGCCCAGTGTCCAGCAGTTGTTAGCTGCTGGTTTCCACGTGTATTAGGCGTGCCTCACCTCCACCTGGTGTTACTCCAGTTTTCGGACGGGTCTCAAGTCCTATTTCTGGGACAAGCCTGCAGATGAAGCGACCCTGGTGTGACTGGTGATCAGTGACCTCCCCTTTGGAAAGCTGCCCTTCTCTAGTAGGAACTGTTAAACCGTAGGAGATTACATGTTCCGATGGAAGATGGGGTATAAAGGGCCAAATCTTACCACTCTTGATTCAGAAATAACCCGGGGCTCATGCAATCAGACGGAAACGGAGTCCACGCACCTGCCTCGTCCTGCTTGGTGCACACTCATACTTCCTGAGGACCTTTCTTCTAGGACCAGGGTGGACCGTAAGGTGTGTCTTCCGACCTTAAATACAAGGATCCTGTTAATGGTTTTGCTGCTGTTAAGTTGTATGAATTCCTTAATATCTTGGATAGCAACTTTTATATTTGATTTGTAAGTTAAGTTTTCATCAAGTCCATGTTTGTCATTTTCCAAGTTTTTTAGCTTGATGTAATCACATGTACAGTTTTAAAAAATTCTTTGTGAATTTGGTGTTAATATGTTAAAAAAAAATAGCATCAATGTTGGGAAAGTTTTTTTTTTTCTCAACTTTTTCTTCTAGAAATTTTATAGGTTTAAATGTTACATTTTAGTGGTTAATCCATTTGACTTGATGTTTCTCTATGTACAAGGTAAAGGTCCAGTTCCATTCTTCTGCATATTTATCCAACACAAGTGGTGTTAAGAATATAATTTCCAGCCTTGCGGTGATGGTGCACGCCTTTAATCCCAGCACTTGGGAGGCAGAGGCAGGCAGGTCTCTGTGAGTTCAAGGCCAGCCTGGTCTACAAAGTGAGTTCCAGTACAGCCATGACTGTTACATGGAGAAACCCTGTCTCAAAAAAAAAAAAAAAAAAAAAAAAAAAAAAAAACTGCAAAAGGATATTATTTCTGAGGCTTGAGAGATGGCTCAGCAGTTAAGAGCATTGACTGCTTTTCCAGAGTAATAAGTTTTAGGCCTCGCCGTGTGGTGGCGCACGCCTTTGATCCCAGCACTCGAGAGGCAGAGGCAGGTGGATCTCTGTGAGGCCATCCTGGTCTACAAAGTGAGTTCCAAGAAAGGCACAAAGCTACACAGAGAAACCCTGTCTCCAGACCCTGCCTCTCCACCAATGCAGCAAACCAAATCAGACCGAATTGGAAAGCCCAGGTTTAATGAGTAAAGTGTTCCAGATGATTACCCAGCCCCACAGAGAGGAGCCAGGGTAGTGAGGGTTTACTGCTGGGAAGAGACACCATGACCAGGGCAACTTTTGTAAAGGAAAATATTTAATTGGGGCTGGCTTACAATAGTACAGAGGTTTAGTCCATTATCTTCATGGCCATGGTGGGAATCATGGTGAGAAACAACCTAGATGCCCCTCAACTGAAGAATGGATAAAGAAAATGTGGTACATTTACACAATGGAGTATTACTCAGCTGTTAAAAAAGTACAGGCAAGTAGATGGAATAGGAAAAAAGTCATCCTAAGTGAGGTAACCCAGATCCAGAAAGACAAACATGGTATGTACTCACTCATAAGTGAACATTAGCTGTTAAGTAACGGATAATCATGCTACAATCCACAGACGCAGGAGACTACGTAACAAGGAGGGCTGAAGGTGGGATTCATGGATGTCCCTGGGAAAGGAGAATAGAATAGATTTTGTGAGTGGACTGAGGGTAGGAACAGAAGGGATCAGGTAGGGGTCGGGTAGAGGACGGAAAGAGTACTGAAAGAGATGATTGGGGTTGGGGGTCATTTGGGGGGTGATGTGGAAACCTAGAGCAGTGGAAACTTCCTGGGATCTGTGAGAGTGACTCCTGGTAGTGAGGAATATGGAACCTGAACTGGCCATCTGTGGTGATATATTGTGTACCTCAATAAAGCTTGCCTGTGGATCAAAGGACAGAGCCAGCCACTAGATTAGACATAGAGGCCGGACAGTGGTGGCACACACCCTTAGTCCTATCATTCAGGGAGGCAGAGATCCATCTTGATCTCTGTGAGTTCAAGGTTACACTGGAAACAGTACTGGGAAGCACACACACCTTTAATCCCAGGAAGTGATAGCAGGGTGGAGAAAGGTATATAAGGCATGAGGAAACAGGAACTAAAGCAGTTCAGCTGAGACTCTCAGGGGTGAGGACTCAGAGACTTTCAGTCTGAGGATTCATGGAAACAAGATCAGCTGAGGAGTTGGTGAGGTGAGCTTGGCCTATGACTTGCTCTGCTTCACTGAACTTTCAGCTTTTACCCCAATATCTGGTACCAGGTTTTTTTTTTTATTAAAAGACCACCTAAGATTCGAACAACAGCCATCTTCTATAACCAGGCAAGGCTTTCAGCAGTGGGACTGGGACACCAACCCAGCCACAAAACTTTTGATCTACAATCTGTCCTGCCTGGAAGATGTGCTGGGGTAATGGTGGTACAGAACTTGTGGGAGTGGCCAACCAATGACTGATCCATCTTGAAGCCCACGCCACGAGAGGGAGCCCACCCCTGACACTGCCTGAATGGCCAGGAACCAGAGACTTGACAGTCCTGAGACCCAGGATAGAATCAAATGTGACTGGAAAAAAATTAAATGAAATGATTCCTAATGGTATTCTGCTATATTAATAGATTGATACATAGCCCAGCTGTCATCGGAGGTATCATCCAGCAACTGATGGGAGCAGATGCAGTGACCCACAGCCAAACAAAGGACTGTAGGCGCCAGAGGGTTGAGGACACCATGAGAACACGGCCCACACAATCAACTAAGCAGGGGACACAGAGACTGAAGTGAAAATTACAAGACCTGAATGGGTCTGAGCTAGGTCCCCTGCCCACACCTTCTGGCTGTGTAGCTGGGTGTTCTTCAAGACTCCTACAGTGGGAGTGGGGGTGTCTCTGACTCTTTTGCATGTTCTTAGAACCTTTCCTCCTACTGGGTTGCCTCGCCCAGCCCTGAAATGAGGGTTTGTGCCTAGTCTTATTGTTACTTGTTCTACCATGTTCAGTTGATATCCCTGGGAGGCCTGGTCTGTTTTTGAAGGGAAACAGAGGAGGAGTGGATCCGGGAGAGAGGCAAGTAGGTGGAGGGGCTGGGAGGAATGAAGAGAGGGGAACCTGTGGTTGGGAAGTAATGTATTAGAGAAGAAAAAAACATAATAATAAAATATTAAAAAATTGCTATTTGTGGTATTTTGAAAGAAAATGGCCCCCAAAGGGAGTGGCACTATTAGGAGGTGTGGCATTGTTGGAGTAGGTGTGGTCTTGTTGGAAGCAGTTTGTCACTGCAGAGGTGGCCTTTGAGGTCTAATATATGCTCAAGATACTACTCAGTGTCTCAGTTCACTTCCTGCTGCCTGCAAGATGTCGAACTCTCAGCTGCTATTCCAGCACCATGTCTGCCTGCAAACTGCCATGTCCTACCATGATGATAATGGACTGAACCTCTGAAACTGTAAGCCACCACCTCAATTAAATATTTTCCTTTATAAGAGTTGCTGTGGACCTGGTGTCTCTTCACAGCAATAGAAACCCTGAGACACTATATTTTGCTAATTTAAAAAAATCCAAAAATCTCTCAACTATGGAGTTTGTAAAATCAACATTAAGTTATATACTTTCTTACTCCAAGAGGAAAGAATCAGGAAACAGTCACAATAAAATCAAAGCAATACTCAAGTCCAAAAGTATAAATATCTCAATATCTGATATCTTGAATTCATAGTTTTCTGAGCTCCAAAGGGCTCCATTTCTCCTGTTCTGCTATTCATAGCATACACAGCATGTATAGTAGACTCAGGCTGGCTCTCCTCCACACCTGCTTTTGTTCTTGGTAGTTGTCTCATGGTACTAGTTATTATCTCTTATATGCTGGTGTCTCCACTGCAACTGAGACTGCCCCCTCAACAGTGGCCTTTCAGGGATTTCAGCCCTGTCACACACATCAACTTCTCTTCATGACTTCTTCATGCTTTCAAAACCAACACCACCTGGTTGAGTCTTACACATTATCAAGTTGGGCTGTCAACATTAATTACAGCCTTGGCCAGCCTGGACCACAGCTTCTGTGTGCTGACCCTGAGGAAATAGTCCAGATGATTTTACTTCAATGATAAAATGGTCTCTCCTTTCTTTTCTTTTCTTTTCTTCTTTCTTTTTTCTTTCTTTATTTCTTTTTCTTCTTTTTTTTTTAGTCATTTTTGTTTTTTGAGACAGAGTTCCTCTGTGTAGCCCTGGCTGTCCTGGAACTAGATCTGTAGACCAGACTTACCTTGAATTCACAGAGATCTGCCTGCCTCTGCCTCACAAGTGCTGGGATTAAGGCATGTGCCCCTACCACCTGGCTGCTGGTGTCAATCACGAACTAATTTCTCAGCTCTAGCGAAGGAGCATCAATTGTATCATTAAAGCACAGTAAAGCAAAAGTTTCATGTCAGTCATACTTGTATCTTGTTAATCATAGCTTATTCCACTCCAATTGACCAGACTCCACAATTTATTTTTTCTGCTGTTGTGTGTTCAGCTTTTTTGTTGTTGTTGTTTTTATTTTTGTTTCTGTTTTCAAGACAGGATTTCTCTGTGTTCTGACAGTCCCAGAACTCGATCTGTAGACCAGGCTGGTCTCAAACTCAGAGATCCACCTGCCTCTGCCTCCGGAGTGCTGAGATTAAAGGTGTGCACCACCACCACTGCCCAACTGACACCACAAATTTGTAATACAAAATATCATACAAGCAGCCCTGGTAGAGTCTTCGTTTCCCTCTGAAACTTCACAAGCCAAACTTACACTGCCTGCATTTCTCTTAACACTATTTTCCAAGCTTCCACAAAATGGCCCATGAAGATTTGAACACTCAAGGGCTTTTTGGGCCCAAGGTTCCCAAATCCTTTGCCATTTTCTCCTAACAACATGGCAGATCTGTCATAGCAACACCCCACTCCTGGAACCAATTTCTGTCTTAGTTAGGGTTTCTATTGCTATGATAAAACACTAACCAAAATCAACTTGGGAAAGAAAGATTTTATTTCATTTTACACTTTTTGGTAATAGTTCATCACTGAGGGAAGGCAAGGCAAGAACTCAAACAGGGCAGGAACATGGAGATTAGAACTGATGTAGAAGCCACAAAGGAATACTACTTACTGGCTTGCTCCCTCTGGCTTATTCAGTTTGCTTTCTTATATACCTCAGGACTATCTGCCCAGGGATGGCACCAGTCACAGTGGAGTGGGCTATCTCACATCAATTATTAATCAAGAAAATATCAAAAAAGAAAAAAAGAAAATGTCCTATAGACTGCCTACAGGCAATATGGATGGAGGCATTTTCTCAGTTGAGGTTCCTTTTACCAGATAACTCTAGCTTGTGTCAAGTTGACACAACCAACCAGGACACAAGTCCAGAGCCATATTATTTTTTAATGATTTTCAGTCACCTTAATCGCCATTTATTGCCCTCCTCTGTATGTGAGCTAACGTCTTTGTGATCATTAGGTGAATATTTTGGAATGTGCAGACACCTACCAACTACCACCCAAAGCCTAAGAATATTCATCAGATAACATCTGAGGTCTATACCTGAGATTTTCTACCTTCTGGGGCCTGTGTCCTGGTTAGTCTTTTGTAAGCAGCATTCCTCAGTGGTCTTTGTTTCAGTTCCTGCCTATAGATTCCTGTGTCTACTCCTGCCCTGATTTCTTTCAGTGATGTAAGCCAAATAAATCCTTTGCTCCTCAAGTTGCTTTTAGTCATGGTGTTTATCACAGCAACAGAGGATAAATGAGGACACGCACCTGCCTGGCATGTAAACACACAAATGTTTTGAAAAGTGTGCTGATTTATGCTATTCTTTGTTCTGTTTCTATAAAAACTTCTTAAAATTGCTACCTCACTGGAATATGGAATTTGGAGTAACTTAAATATGTGTTGCCAAGCCATTGTTCATTCAACTATAGCTCCAGAATAAACTACCTCTTCTGAAGTAATACTCTTTGAGGTAAGAGTTGGTTTTTATGTAATTTTTTGTTGAAACTTTTATGTTAAAACATTAAACAAATCAGAATATATGTAAAAGGTAGAAATAATGTGCAGTATGTGCTCCAATCACAAGGAACTAATCTTGGAAAACAATAGCACAAATATATTTAGGAAAGAGTTCCAGCTAGGGTTATACAGTGAGACCCTGTGTCCAAAAAAAGGACATTAGTAAATTATTGAACTGAATAAAAATTAAAACATACAAAATTAATGGATAGGCTAGTGATCTAGGAGAGGCATATGCTCAAAATCCCACTCCTATTCTTTGGATTGACTTTCCCCTTTTTTCTTCCTTTTTTCTTTGTCTTACAAAAATGAAGATGAAGGAGATAATTTAAACAGGCCTGCAACTCTGAGATAGAAGCAGTAATTTAAAATCTTCTCACATACACATAAAAATGGCCAGGTGGATTCAGCACAGAATTCTACTAGACCTCCAAACAGAAACTAACACCAACAGTTGCCAGATTATTCCATAAAATAGAAAAAGAAGGAACTCTTCCAAACTCTTTTTTACAAAGCCAGTATTAACCTGATACCAATACCACACAAAAACCAACCAAAAAGACAATTATAAGCCAATCTCCTCAATGAATACAGACACACTCTCAATTAAAATACTTGCAAACAGAATTCAATGATACATCAAAAAGATCATTCACCATGATCAAGTAAGCCTCATCCCAGAAATTCAAGGATGGTCCAACATATGTAAATCAACAAATGTAGTCATATAGTCTACCACATGAATAGATATAGAGAGAAACCACATGATTATTTCAATAGATAAAGAAAAGTCCTTGACAAAATCCCACACTTTCATGATAAAAGTCCTGGAGAATTTGGGGATACAGGGCACATACCTCAACATCATAAAGCCAATATATAACAAGCCCACAGTCAACATCATGTTACATGGAGAAAAGCTTAAAGTATTTCCCATAAAATTAGGAACAAGACAAGGATGTTGCCTCTCTCCAGTCTGTGCAACAGTGTTTGAAGTCTTTACTAGAGCAATAACATACGAGAAGAAGATAAAGGGGATTAAAATAGAGAAATAAGAATGGTGATATTGTGGTGCTATGCCTTTGTCTTAAGAACTGCTGGAAAATCTATATTCAGACTTCAGTGCCGGGCAGTGGTGGCGTACGCCTTTAATCCCAGCACTTAAAACTCCAAACTTTATTTTACAAATAGCAATACAGTTTACCTATTAAATAGCACTATAATAGAATGATTCATTATAGTTTTAAGGAGAATAAAAAATGGAAAATTTCAAAAAAAAATGGAAAATTTCAGCTGGGTAGTGGTGGCGCACACCTTTAATCCCAGCACTCGGGAGGCAGAGCCAGGAGGATCTCTGTGAGTTCGAAGCCAGCCTGGTCTACAGAGTAAGATCCAGGAAAGGCGCAAAGCTACACAGAGAAACCCTGTCTCGAAAAACTAAAAAAAAAAAAAAGGAAAATTGCAAGATATAAAACTTTGTCCCCAAAGCAAATAAAACAATCATATTTTCTAAGTGTCTAAGTGGGTCTGCTATGGATATCACTCTGTATGCTGTGAATTTGTTGCTCTGATTGGTTAATAAATAAAATGATGATTGGCCAGTAGCCAGGCAGGGAGTATAGGCAGGACAAGGAGAGAAGTGAATTCTGGGAACAGGAAGGCAGATTCAGGAGTTGCCATTGAGACACAGAGGAAGCAAGATGTGAAGGCAGAACTGAGTAAAGGTACCAAGCCACATGGCTAAACATAAATAAGAATTATAGGTTAATTTAAGTGTAAGAGCTAGTCAATAATAAGTCTGAGCTAATGACCAAGCAGTTTTAATTAATGTAAGTTTCTGAGTGGTTATTTTATAAGCGGCTGTGGGGTCCTTGGTGCCAGGCAAGCACAGGAAAACCTTCAGCTACATGGGTCAATGTGACAAATGTACTAAGTAACTAGTCATCTACAGTTTCTACTGTATTAATAGTCAATGGACTGAAAAAAAAGAAAGAAAGCCTACTATCACAACTACTGCCTTATAGGACTAACATGGATTGAATTCTATTAGAATGCAATAAATAAGTGAAAAAAATAAAAGTTCTTCCATTTCAATAACCAGAACATTGAATTCACATAGTCATAAGTAAAAGGAAAA